TGCTGCAGTTGCTGCAGCTGCTGGCCAGCAGCGCGACGCAGGTAGTTATGCCTACAGGGCCTTAAAGGGCCTCTTCTTAGCCTTTCTGCATCTTCAGTTTCATCAGAAAAGGTCCCTCTAAGGCTCACTTACTTAAACATAGAGTTACATACTTTTCTAGCTTTCCTTCTAAAGCTTAGGGCCCCTTAAACGCAGTCCCTGGGAGCCCGGGGGGCTCCCTTGGGGCCCCCCTGGGGCCCCTTTGGGGCTCCTCTGGGGCCCCCCTGGGGCCCGCCCGAGTCTCTGGGGGTCCCCCGGTGGCTGTGGCGCCCAGCGCGGCGAACTGAGTTAATTATTTCCTGATGCAGCTTTAGTGTTTGTTAAGAAAGACACAGCGCATGCAAAGAAACTGGAGGCATTTTAATTAAAAGAAAAAGCCGCTTTAGCTCCAGGCCTTTGGGGCCAGCCTAGGGAGCCAGACAATGCAGGAAGACTAAACAGCCTGCATGCATACATGCGTGCATGCATCCATGCATGCATGCATGCAACGAAACATGTCTGTCTTTATCTCCCTGGAATCGTGGGGGCCCCCCCGGGCCGGCGTGGGCGTGGGGGCCCCAGAAGCTTCTGCAGCTGCCACCAGCGAGGGGGCCCTGGGGCTGGGAAGTGGGGGGCCCCCAGAAGAGGCCCAGAACGGTCCCTGAAAGTAGAAGCTGAGACCCCATGGGGCCCCCTGGGGCCCCTACGGGGGCTCTGGGGGCCCCGTGGGGGCCCTAGGGGCCCCCGGGGGCCCCAAGGGGCCCCAGACCCAGTGCTCTTCTGGGCCTCTAAGGCCTCTGGCTGCCTCTCTGGGGCCCTAGGGCCCCCCCATTTACTGGAGAACCCCCAGAAGCTTTGGGGGCACTTGATGGGCCCTTTTGGACTTATTTTGGGGCCCTGTCCTCAAGGGAAAACCCACAAAATGTCTGTCACGGGAGGACCCTGCATGCAGCAGCGCGAAGGGCGTTTTAAGAGAAGGGGCCCCCATAAGTCGAGCTGCAGCAGCTGCAGCAGCTGCAGCAACTGCAGCAGCTGCAGCAGCTTAAGAAGGTCCTTGTAATTGCATTTTCCAGAAATTTAAAGGACCCTTTTGTTGCATTTTGAATTCCACTTCTAGTTCTTTGAGTCCCAAACAACTTCAACTAAATCCACCAGTTTGCCAAACTCAAATTGCCTTTATGGGGCCCCCCAGCTGCAGTTGCTGCTGCGCGTGGGCCCCCCCAGCTGTAGCTGTTGCTGCGCGTGGGGCCCCCAGCTGCACCTGCTGCTGCGCATGAGGCCCCCCAGCTGCAGCTTCGGGTTTTTTCGCGTGCGCGTGCTGCTGCTGCTCCTCTGAAGCCAGAGACCAGCCGCTGCAGGCAGCAGCAGCAGCTGCTGCTGCTGCTGCAGGCTGTTGCTGCTGCAGGCTGCTGCTGCTGCTGGCTTGTTCAAACTCAATTCGCAGCTTTTTCTGCGCTCTTTTGCTGCCTGCTGCAGCACTCTAAGAGGGCTTCTGGTGTATCTTCAGGCCACAGCGCAGCCCAAAGGCAGGCAGGGCCCCCAGCAGCCCCTGAGGCAGCTGCAACAGCAGCAGCAGCAACAGCAGCAGCCGCGGCTCCAGCAGATGCTGCAGCAGCGACAGCATGATCAGCAGAAGCAGCAGTACCAGCAGCAGTAGCAGCTGCAGCCGCAGCTCCAGCAGCTGCTGCAGCAGCAACATCATCCTCAGCAGCAGCAGTACCAGCAGCAGTAGCAGCAGCAGCTGGAGGAGCGGTAGCACCAGCAGCCGCAGCACCAGCAGCTGCAGCTGCAGCTGCTGCAGCTGCTGCTACTTCCAAAAATTGTTTTTATTAGGGCCCCTCAAAGTGTCTTTTGCCCGCTATAATAGGGCCTGGCTGCTGCCACTGCCCTGGCCGGGGCCCCAGGGGCCACCGGGGCAGCAGCAGCAGCCGAAGCAACAGCAGCAGCAGGCCAAGAACTGGGCAGAAGCAACTTTTGCTGCTAAAGAGCTGCAGTGGGAGCTGCTGGCCCTCAGTGGGGGGCCCCTGAGCTGTCTGGGGGGCCCCCGTGTCTGAACTTTGCCGGGGCTAGAAGGGCTGCCCCTGCACAGCAGCGAGGAGCCCCCACAGGGCCCCCTGGGGGCCCCCTGTGGGATTTGTTTGGGTTTGGGAGCCCCCCGAGGAGCAGAAGGCGGGGGGGGCCCCTGGTCCCTGGGGTGTCTCTACAGCTGACCAGTGGAGACCGGCGCCGCTGCTGCTGCTGCTGCCTTCCTTTCTTGCGAACTGCAGCAGCAAACTCTGCAGCAGAATGAAATGGAGTGCTGCTGGGGTGAGAGACAGGGGCCTGTGCCCCCCGCAGCAGCAGTAGGGGGCCCCCTGTCTCTGCTCGCTGCAGCAGGGGGCCCCTCGCTGGCACGCAGCCAGCAGCTGCTGCTGCTGCTGCGACTCAGCATCTCGGGGGCCTGTGCTGCTTAGAAATACAAAAATTAGAAGGGGAAACTCCAGTCAAAATTTCGATAGGGCAAGCAGCAAACTGCTGCTATTGCTGCTGCAGCGGTCCGTGCTGCTCTCGCCAGCAGCAGCGGTCGCAGCCGCACAGCAGCAGCAACCGCAGCAGCAGCAGCAGCAATATTCTAGAGACAAAAGAAGGCCTCTGCAGGTCAATGAGGCGCTCTTTAAGTTTTTTGCTCCTTGAACTTTTGCTGCTGCCTTTAGTCTGCGGTGTACGTACAGCTGCTGCTGGGCTCGTTCGAATGCGCCGAAGGTCTGCAGCGCCCCCAGCACAGCCAACGCCCGCCACTTGTGTATTTTCTTGAGTTTTTTCCTTTTAATTTGTTTCTAAATCCCCAATTCTTGCAAACAGACAAGTCTTCTGGACCCGGGGGGGCCTCCTCGAAGCCCGCCCGGCGCCGCCCAGCTGCAGCAGCAGCTCACTCGACGGCCTCGAGGCCCCCTGCCTGCAAGCCCCAGCCTTGCTGGCGGCGGGCTGCGTTGGGGGCCCTTGTGCTGCTGCTGCAGCAGCTTCAGCGTGGCTTGCCGCCACCGACACACCGCCGCCAGCAGCAGCAGCAGCAGCTGCAGCAGCAGCAGCAGCAGCAGCAGTAGCCGCAGCCGCACCGGCCGCAGCCGCCGCGGCAGCCTACGCGGTAGCTTCAGCAGCAGTGGGCGCAGCCCGCAGCAGCAGCGGGAGCCCTGCTTCGGCTGCTGCTGTCCACCGCTGCCTGCTGCTGCTGCTGCTGCTGCTGTCTGGGGCCCACCCAGCCAAATTTGCCGCGTAGAGGCAGCCAGCCAAGTCTATAGAGCCCCGTGTTGCAGCTGCTGCTGCTGTGGGGCTCCGGGCGCGCTGCTGCGCCTCAGCGCGTGGGCAGTTGCTGCTGCTGCGCTGCTGCGCCGCTGCTTCTCGCTGTGGGGACGTGGGGGCCCTGCTGCTTCCCTTTTGTCGCTTTTTGTCCCTTTTGCTGCTTCTTCGCTGCAGCATTTTGTCTCTGGACTTCTCCCAATTTGCTGCAGAGCCCCTCCGAGGGCCCTGCGGGGCCTCCGGTTTGCTGCGCGCTGCGCCGGGGCCCTAGCTAGCCAGCGGCTAGTAGCCGCGCAGGCCTTTGGGGCTCTTGCTGCTGCTGCTGCTGCTGCGTGTGCACTGTGTGCGGCAGCAGCAGCAGCGCGCCGCACCGCGCAGCCGCCGCCGCCGCAGCAGCAGTGGCCGAAGGAAGACGCCGCGCAGCAGCAGCAGCAGCAGGAGCAGGACGCCGCGCAGCAGCAGCTCATCCGGAGCCGCAGCAGCAGCACCCCCCTCTGCAGCAGCAGCAGCAGCAGCAATGGCAGCAGCGCTGATATCGGTGCTGAACGAGGCGGCGGGGGAGTACGTGGAGGGCCTGGACCGCAGCCAGCTGGACTTCTCGGGGGCGCTGACGGGGAAAGTGCTGCTGCGGCACCTGCAGCTGAAGCAAAAAGTGTTCGAAGTGCTGCCGCT